CACAACACATAATTTAAAAATATATTTTTCCATTTTTAGTAATATGAGTCAAAATTAGTTTGAAGATGAGTTTATTGAAATTTGGAAATTGTTTATGTATTTATTGTACCAAGCTCGACCTTGACCAACCATCTAGTTCTAATTATTTTCAAAAATTGGTGGCCAGTCCAATACCAATTTGGGAGATTATGAAGGATTTAAGTATAAGCCTTAAACTTATTTGACCTTAAGTATATTAGGTTATCAACTTGTATGGGTTAAAGTACATTCTGTTTTTTATTACTGTTTTACCCATTTCAACATTAATGGATCCTAGCAACTCTTCTTCATTATGTGAAGTTTTGGATCCTATTGGAACCAGGGTCATCACTAGTGAACAATTCTTGGAACGAACGTACTCGAGCCAGAGAATCAACAACTTCCCCTAGCACCATCCTACAGTAGTCGGACGTGATTAATGAATAAAACATCCATAACACATAATTACTTTTCTTATACTATTATTAAACCGTTAAAATATATATTGGACAAGGTTCCATTCCTAAGCTAACATGATTAAAACAAAATCAAATAAAATATTTTGGTACAACATAAAAAAAAATAATATTAGTAGCCTCTAGCTGCGATCTCCCTAGCTAGAATAACATTTTGGTAAATACAAACATCAGAATAAAATCCAAAACATTTTATGTGTAAATTAATTCCAAAAAATAATTAGGGTTTTGATAAAAAAATATCATGTGTGTAGGAATCATGAAATAGTAATAAAAACCCCAACCCAACCCTATGGATAATGTTAACTAATACTTAGTATTATATACATAGCATAGGTGTGATATGGAACTCCCAAATATACATGAGATGCATTAATAATAGTAAAAGACAAAAGAAATCATATATTCGAAGTTACCTCGAATCGATACCATGTACTCTAGCAAAACAAAGCGGATTAATATTTTAGAATAAAATTAAGTAATAATGACTAAACCCAAAAATAATTTTTAGAGTGAATAACGAAAAATAACGATAACCAAATTTGACGTAAAAATATTTAACGATTATCAAGTTCTAGTAATTGGCCATCAAGGTGAACCTATAAATAATTAAATCATCAGTCAAAACTTTACCTAAATTTTTGATCGTAAAATTGAGCTCTTATGTTCACAAATTTCTCTCTTTTTCTTTTCCTATTCTCCCCCTCTCTCTTCCTTCCTCCCTTTTTTCTCTCCTTCTTTGCTTTGGTCGTTTGCTTCTGTCCCGTGGCTATTTCTAGCCAAAGTGGGAGCCTTCATGTCACTTACATGTAAGGGGTTTACATTGGCATGGTGAAGTACAGTGGACACACCCAATTTTTGTGTTCATTATTATTATTATTATTTTTCACTTATACACATATCACATATAAGTGTAGTTTTCTTCTCATTGTCACCTACTTACTTATACCGTTCATACACTTTAGATATTTATTAAACATAATCAATATTAAAGTTATTTGACTTATTTTCACGTAAGGGATCCATATTTTAGGTCCATTTATTTATTTGAAATTTCTAAAAATAACTCTTGATTACAAGAATAACAATTAGAACTCTAATTAACGGGTTAACGATTAATTTTCATACGGGTCAGTACATCATTCATAATTCTCAAGCTTTTTGATTAGTAACATCAGATAGTAACACTCAAATTATGTAACATTCACAATAATGCGTTACTTGTGGAAAGAAAGGTAGGGTGTTTAATTCAATAAATCGTGACTTTGGACCATAAATGTTACCCGATTCATGTTATTGGTGGAACATTTTGTGAATTGATTTTGTTTATATCTTTATTATGCTCAATGTTATTGTCTTTGATTTTAAATGTTACAGTGCTTTGGTCACCATTGTGTTCATGTTATTGCTTCATATCAATATTATATTTAATGTACCTTTTTTTGATTTTAAATTTTACTATTTTTCACTTACATGCACTACAAGAAAATTCACTTTTAGTCGCTAGATTTAGATTGACAAAAAAATATTATTGTCACTGAAGATATGATGTTGAAATTATTTAGTGGCTATAGTTATTTGTCGCCACTAAAGATATATAATTAGTGGTGAAAAAGTACTATTGTCACTAAAGATATGATAGTGAATCTAATTAGTGACAATTTAAATGTTGCAGCAAAAATATATTACTAATTTATCACTAATTTCAAATATTTAGTGACAACAATTTAAATTTAGTCACTAATAATAAAAAATATTAGTGATAACATTTTGTACTTGCAATAAATATGCCTTGATTTTAGTCACAATTTTTTTTGCCACTGTGTAAATTTTAGAAAATAAGTTGTCGCTGGTAAATGTAATACTAGCCCAAAAAAAAAAAACTAAAATTCCTTCATTTCATATAATACGAATGGTGCTTTTAAAATATATATATATATACTAGGAATAAGCCGTGCTTGACGGCACGGTGCAACTAAACAAAATTGAACATTAGATTTGAATGCGAAATAATCAAGCATTGAACTCGGACACGTAGTAAACTGAAAGTCTAAACTTGTCTTATATCACGTATTTGAAGGCACTATACATAGTTCTTAAACACGAAATAATCAAAAAATGAATATAAACATGCATTAAGCTGAAAATCGTTTGGTAATATTTAATGTCATGACTTTAGTAAAATAAAATGGGTCAAAATTTAAAAAACTTTCAAATTTTTGACAGAGTATCCTTTGAAAATACGATGCCACAAATATCACGCCCAATCCTCCCTTCATGTACCAATTTATCAACTATCGTAACTCCAAGCTACATAAATGCCCTTAATTTAATCTACTCCAAAATTTTCAATATCATCAAACACCACTGCATTAAAAGAACCAGCTTGGCATTTGAGTCTTCAACCCATATATCATTCTTATTGTTCTGTCATATCTGGGGGATAAATTAATTTGGTAGGAAACTGGCTCTGGGCTTTTTGCTGTCAAAACAGCTTGGCATTTGAGTAAGAATAGGGGGTGGTGAATGAGGTAGCTGGGCTTATTTGGAAGACTGTTACTGCTCCTAGTGCTCTATTAATTGATTGGAAATTTTTGTGTAATGCCTTGCCTTTGGATTCGAATTTTTCGAGAATAGGTGTATCCTTGGTGAGCAGGTGCTGCATGTGTTATCAGAATGTGGAAACTATGAATCACCTTTTTGTTGAGTGTGCTTATGATTAGCAAAATTTCATCAAACTAATCACCAAAACCCTATTTCATAACACCCAACAATCAAGTCAACATCCAATTTCATATGATTAATACAATTCTTCTTAAAAAATTTAAAACAAAAGAAGGAATTTAATGAGTAACTTATTGCCCTTCTTCAAATTCTTAAAGTACCGAAAAAGGTATAAGTAGAATACAAAAAACAAAAAACCAAGAATGTTTGACAATAATTTATAACAGGGAGTGTGTTTGACAGTAATTAAAACACAAAGGTTGAAGTAGATAGAATTTCAAGAGCAATATGATAGCGTACGGAAACCCATACATAAAAACAATTCATATAAAGTGCACATGTATATATAGCCACATATGAAAATCATATTCATAAGGGTTATCAAAATATTTGTCACATGCTAGATTGAATAGTAACACAAAGAATGACCCAAGGCAAAAGAAGCGGTGAAGTTCAATATTAAGCTATCAGTGACCAAAAAACCAAGAAAGTTTCTAAAAAGAAAGCAAAATGAATTCAATTCACAAAGAATTTAAAGGCTCATAAGTGATATAGGCTTGTTCAATTCACAAAGAATTTAAAGGCTCACCTGTAACATTTAACACCACCACCAAAATGGCACCACTACCCAACACATAATCACATCCAATCACCTAGCATCAACCTATAAACCAATCAAATATCTATTGAATTCAAAAAAATAAAAAAACATAAAAACTCATACAATTGACAATAAATCCAAACAAACAAAACTTATTATATTCCACCATCAATTTCATACAACAATAACCAAATTTCAACTAACACTTCAATTGACAATAAATTTCATAAAACTCACCATCCATAAACTAATAAAAAATTTCAATTAAAATTCAGCAATTTCACAAAATTTCAACAATCTAAAAAATTAAGTGTTCTGTGTGTTCTGTCTGTGTGCGTGAGTGTGTTTTCTGTGTGGTGTGAATGTGTAGCAGAGAGGAGGGGATGGGTATTTTGGGTGGGGATGGATATTCTAGCTGGGGGTGGGAGTGGGTTACGTAGAGGGGGTAGGGGGTTTGCGCAAAAGGGGGAGATCTAGGAAGGGGGTTTGTTGAGTGTGTGTGTGTGTAAGAGTGAAAGAAGTAGAGTGTGGGAGAAAGTTGCGTAGAGGGTGAGGGGTTTGCACAGAAGGGGGAGACTGGGGGGAGGGGGTTTCGTTAAGCAGACAGTGGGGGTGGGTTGTACAGAAGGTGGGGGGTTTGCACAGAAGGGGGAGACTTGGGAGGGGGTTTCGTTAATTATGTGTCTGAGAGAGAAAGAGAAACAGAGGGGGGGTGATAGTGAGAGAATCAGCTAGTGGGGGTGGGTTACATAGAGGGAGTAAGGGTGGGGGTTTGCGCAAAATTTGGAGAGCTTGGATGGAGGGTTGTCTCTGTGTGTGTGCGAAAAGAGAGAGAGAGAGAGAGAGAGAGAGAAGTAAAGAAAAAGGATACTTGGATGTGGCAGTGCCGTTGGCGGTGGTGTCGCTGGAGGTGGTGTAACACAAAGTGTTCTGTGTTGAGAGAGAGAGAGAGAGAGAGAGAGGAAGGGAGGGCGTGAAGGGAAGGCAGAGGAAAAGAAGGAAAAATATGGTGATGGGTTAGCAGGCATGGTGCTCCTTGCATGTGTCAGGCGGCTGTGTGCAGGTGAGGGGCAATGTAACATTAAGAGGGAGGTGATGCGTGTGTCCCTTCTATTTTATTATATATATATAAGAACGACGCCCATCGTTTTCATATTTGCCACAATTCATTTTTGTTCAAGTTCTCTCTGAGCCTCACCTTTCTCTCTCTTGTTCTCGATCTCTACGTTCGTCCGACGTTGGATTCTACTAATTTGCCATGGACGACCAATCTGCCATTGATAACCTCTCTGTCATGGACAATCTCTCCTAATCCATCCGTTACGTCAGATCTACAGGTATTCATCAACATTTATCCTAAGGCATCGACACTTCCCAATTCTTTTGCAACATTTATCCCTCACACAACGGTCAATTCTTCCCAAATCTTCTTCAACCTCTCTACCATTAGCCTCGCTTCCATGTACAACCTCTCTGCCGTGGACGATATGTCCTAATCTGCCCGCTATAGCATAGTTCTGTAAGTTTTAACACTAGACCTCTCTCCAACAGATCTGTAAAGATCGCATTCTTCAACTTTCGATATATCTGCCATCAATGATCTCTGCTTCTGCATCTTTGGGAATGAAATTTTCATTTGTGGGGCTACGTAGAAATAGTTTCACTCGGGTTATTATCTTTTTTATTGTTATCATCTTGTGTAGAAATAGTCCTAAGCGGGGGTAGTTATTATTTTTTTAATGTTTGTTTTGGGATTGGGAGGGAATGGATGGGTAGGCTTTTGAAATCATATTTAACAAATACGCTTGCACTAGAAGTCGGATTTGAAGAAAACGCTTTCATTAAAAAGCGGTTGTGTTGAGTCTGTTTTTTAATAAAAACAGATGTGTTGAATCCGCTTTCAATGGAAACAATTTTGTTTTAAAATCGGATGTGAGGATTAAGACTTCATGTGAAAGTGGATTCTACAAATCCGATTTAATGATGAATTCGTAATTGATAATTCCGCTTTCAAATAAATTCGTAGTTGTTGATTCCGCTTTCACATGAAGTCGGATTTGTTGATTCCGCTTTCAAAAGTGTCATAGATTGGTAATTAAGTTCAAAACTGTTATACTTTGGTATTTATGTTTTAAATTTGTTGTGTTTTGGTAATATATTCTTCCTATCACATGCCTAATTATTTTAATATTTGATTAATTTATAGTTTAATATATTTTTTTATTTTAAATATTATCCATACACGATAATATACATATGTTAAAAAAAATTTGTAGGATTATGTATTTTAAAAAAAATTGTAGATATTTTTAAGAAAATAATAGATAAACATAGATTTTAAATGATGTAATCAAAGAAATGAATGATATAAAAATTATTATTTAATTTCTCTCTCTCTCTCTCTCACACACACACGCACATGACACGCACGATAACTCACACCACTCAATTTATGAGGTTGACACATCTTTAGTCTTGTATTATCACATCGTCTAAGTATTTATTTATTTACAATAGTATATCAGGGGTGGACATTTCCTTAATGTGTCGGACAAATCTACTTTGCTCAATAGCGGTAAGTGACAAAAAATTATTATATTGCAAAAACAAAATAAATATATGATTTCATTCATGTAGAGATGAGTTGTTAAGTGAAGAAATGGATATTCCGATACTATCGAAACGAACCGACATGATTAATAACTCATTTTCTTTTCTAACCTCCATTGTTACTAAATAGAGGTCAAATCAAAATGCGAACAAGGGTTCATTGTGCCTCCTTTGAACTTCTAGCCATCACTCAAAATGCGAACACAATTTATGCCTTTTCTTCCAACAACTCAAGCAAAGATTACATGTACACATTCCATAAATTACTGCAACTGTATGGATACATCTATAACGGTCTCTCAATTGTGTTGGGTGAAATAGATTCACGTCAGGTCTTAATGGATCCAAGTCAAAATATTCTCCACTCATATCCAATTAGTTTATTAATTCATATTTAACGAGTCATGTCGTATCGGATTCATATCGTATATCAATCATATATAACTGGTAAATAAAACGAATCATGTTATGTATTTCTTTTAATTAATTTCAATCATACCCAATTTATTTATTAATCGTATCTTATTGGGTTCATTCATTAACGAAATAGGTAGTTTCAAGAAGATCTAAACCTTCTAACTTCGTGTCGTGTTCATATTCATGTTTTGTTAACGAATTGTGTAATATTTTGACACCCCTACATCTATCAACAATTATGTTATCTATCTCTAACTTTTCGTGTCTGTGGGGATATGAAGATAGTCTACACAATCTTATCTCTTTGGTCCCGTTAAGAGTTTCAAAAAGTAATTTTTTTGATATCGTATATTTATTTTTCATAATAAAAGTTTGAAATAAATAAATTTTTTTAATTATTTTCTATTGCTTTATCATTTTTTTCAATCACTAATTGCAAATCATTTAATCCAAAATCAATAGCTAGAATGGATCTCAATAACGTATCAATTTCAGTACTATTATAGTACTCTATATTAAAACTAAGTATTGACCATGCCTTAAGACATGGAGAAATAAAAAAAATAGTTAACAATAAACATATTTGTATTCACACCCAAAATCAAATCACAAACATAGAGGAGAGAGAAAAGAATTTATATAACGCCCCAAAATCCACCTTGGAAGGCATTACTATCTACAAACTATCCGACCATGAAATCAACTAAAAATAACTATTAAGTAATCAACCATTCATTCATTTGACAAGGAATAAATAATAAAGGCAATAAAACATTGTAACTTCTCCAACTTATAATTCAAAACCAAAGAATATCTAGCAGCAGAAAAATAAAAACTAGCTAAAACATTTTTTCATAAAAATTTCTCAAACTCTAAACCAAAAATAGAACAACTTTATTTTCTAAGGCATGATCCACATCTTGATCCTCTAATGACTCATAATCAACCTGCTCATTTACATTGACATCATCTTCTATACCAAAATCTGTAATTGTGTTGTAGGGGGTGGTGTGCTGTCGCAGGCAACCAAAAATAAAACATATACTCCTAAAAATACATGTAGTAGTGTGAGTAAGGATTGTTCCCACGAAGAGTATCTAGCCTAGTTTTATGATATGTGAACAAGGATAGAAAGGGTTCGAGTTTAACGAAAATAATTTTAAGAAAAAAAACTAAGAAATAATTCAAATTAAAGTATTGAAATCAATCAAAAAAAAAAACATTGGTCTAAGTCAACATCCACCATCGAAATTTTACAACTGATCATCGATGCAAGTATATATCAATTCACTATCTGAATATTCTCCATTTGAACTATCTTCTTATCTCTCCTTAGTCACAATTAATTAGAAAACAACCGATCTAATTAACCTTAACTACTAAACAACCCAAGGCAAGTATCAAAGGTTTAATCTAGTAGCAGTCTTAAGAATTAGAAAGATCAATGAAACTAAACAAAACAAGCACAAGCGGTTGCATTTAATTTAGTCAAGCGTTCTTCCTAAGACCTAATAATTTTTGACGTAACAAATCATTTAATCTTAGTTGCTTCACAAATTAGAGTGATCAAACAATTATAGATTTGATATCTAACCTAGTAGTAGATTGCAATGATTAATAAATTAGTAGGCCTCCTAGTAATTAAATGAGAAAATCATGAAAATAGGCATAGCAGAACATCCGATACTCAAATCATAAATTGAACAATAAAAACAAATTAGATCTTACAGTTTTATTGAATCTGAAGCTTCCATTTCCTTTGACCAAGTATCAAAGTTTAGCCATGCATGGCCTCCATGAAAACTGGAAGGAAGAGTTAGAGAAGAAGGGGTATAGCAGCGTGCGAAGTCTCTAATTTTTTTCTTCTTTTTCCTCTTTACCCGTTCATCCCTCTTTTCCTGGAAAACCTCCCCAAGTTTGACTCTTAAGGAAAAGATTAAAAATAAAATAAAGTCCTAATATAACTAAGAAAGTGGTGTTATCCTATTGAATTTCCGTGCCCCAGGTTTTAAGCTTCGAAAATAAACTGGTATTAGAATTGCGGGCAAAGGAACATTCCAAAACGTGAACAGTGCTCGTAAACAGCGTACATGCTGCAACTTCAAGCCCGATTTTAACCTTGATGTAGTCAATATCTCTCAAAACTCAAAACATGAAAGTTGTAGAGTCTTTTCTTGGCATTCCATAGAATCGAATCATCTCAATCGGAGCTCGGATGAGAGAGTTATGCCCAGAGTACGAAGCGACGTCGAAACTGTCAAAATCGTCCAAGTAACTTTGTTTTGCCTTTAACGCCTCCATTTGCATCTTAAATCAAAATATAAGAATAATGAGTACATTTAGACTCCAAATAAGTATAAAAGGCTAAATACTAATAGAGAAAAATATGACATTTTACATTATCATTAGGAGGTGAACAGAAGCCCATAGAAAATCCCTCTCAAATCCCAACAAAGTTTTAAAACAACAAAAAGAAGGCAAGTTTTTTTTTGGAAAATAGCATATTTTCCGTTTTGAAAGTAAAACAATGACAGTTATAACAATCTCTAGTGTATACAATAAATTAATGAAATGAATAAACATGTTATAATTAAAGCAATCAATTAATAACTCAATAACATCATCTCATATTCTCATGTATGTTGGTTCATCTCCATTTTCATGTATATTGGTTGCTGCTTAGGAATCTACGTAACAATTCTACCTCATTCATCCACCACAAATCAAATAATCTCATTCATTTTTCGCAGGGCATATCACAAACCACTTTCGAAAGAGCGTATATTATATCCCACGACATTGACAAATCATTCATAGGAAAGGTATACCATCTCTTAGCCTCGAACCAATGTGAACATATGTGGTTACTCTTACAAACAACAATCTATTACAAGTGTTAGACAATCATCTTACCCCCACTGGAATAGACTAACTTCTAACACTCTACTGTAGCTCTCGAAGACAATTCAAGTCCGTCACACCCAAACTATACAAGAGATGAAACCATAATTTTCTCAACAATCACAATCTTAACCAATCACAATTTTCATCAACAATTCAAGTATCACAATTGAACAATTCTCAATATACTATCGTAATAAAAGAATTAAAATATGCAAGAGATCATATCAAGAAAATTCTCACAATTTTGATATTCAAAATTTTAGGATTTTCTCAAAAATCATAATTTCTTGGAACAAGAACAAATACTAGATGAAAACATGATTTAATCAAGCATAAAGATTTAGAAATCAAGAATCCATGTATTTTTCATAACCAAACATGTATTTCGCAAAACTAGGGTTTTGGA